CTGAGGGAGAGAGAGTAAGAGTTGGTTTATATAAGGTAAATTATGAAGCCGTGTGGCTAAACCAATAGGATAATGAGAAATAATTTATGGGATTTTCATCATGAGCTGACATTAGTTAGAGAACCATTGGAAAACCGGGGAGTACTGGACAGCTGCTTCGTCCTAGTTTGGGACTCTTCGACAGTACGCACCCACCATAGGGGTTCGAACCCAGGACCTTCTGGTTACAAGACAAGCTCGTAGACCATTAAGCCGCTGGGACCCGATCCAATGGCCCATGAATTCTAACTTCTGCCAATTCACGACATAGCGCGACCCCTAGCCAATGTCTTCGGCGAGTATTTGTCCTCACACCCGACCTACTGCACCCTACTGGTCACGACTTCTCACTAGAACCCCAGGTAACTACCTACCTGAATAGGGCAAGTCGCTATTACGAGCTCGCCTTGTAACCAGAAGGCCCTTGGTTCGAACCCCGGTGGGTGCATACTACCGAAGAGTCCCAAACTAGGACGAAACAGCTGTCCAGTACTCCCAGGTTTTCCAATGGTTCTCTTGTTAATGTCAGCTGATGATGAAAATCCTGTAACCAATCAAATCCCTACAAACCAACACTTGAATATTTTTGAATTGTTATATAACAGATTCAACTGGTCGTATGCGTTAATTTGACTTTCACATTCCGTTGAAGCTGTAGGCGTTTAGATAATGCCACTCACTCACTGTCTAGCAGAGCAAAACGGAAATTACTGTCATGAATAATGGACGATTAATTCTCTCCCATATTTTGCGTCATTTGTTTATTCCTTCTATTATTCTTTGCATAAAATCATTTCTCTCGTAAAAAGCACATTCTTTACTCCAACTTCCTGTTTTTTCTTCTCTCAATCCTAAATAGAAAACCACTTTAAATCAAACTGATATTGTTTCATTGTTATTTTGTTAGTTTATTTCTAATTCTACAGCTTTTTAACTGACAATACGGATGCACATATATTTAGAGAGATTTTATATAATATATATATAATAAAATCGATTGTTTCTCTTCTTCTCAACCTTGATATGATGAAAGGCTTAACAAATTATAATATTTTTCATTACACTGACCCTCACACTCACATACGCATACATACACACACAAAAAGAGACACGTTTATATGAATTCTATTCATCTGCTACTAGCAACTTGAAATGTACTCACTAGAAAATTAAAAATTGGTTTTCGGGTCGATTATAATTGTTTATTCTTGATATGAAGAGTATTCATTTTCTCTATTTTTATATATCTACTGTTATCGTGGATATTAAGTCTCAAATTCCACCTCTGATTGATGTCAGTTAGAGGACTGTTGACAACCAGGGACAATCGTGTCGTCCGTATTTGGGACTCCTTATCAGCATGTAGCTACTGACTTATGACTCTCTTGGTAATTCTGGTGGAATAATGACCCACTTAGCAATTTAGGTCTCCCAGCTCAACTAGCCAGTAGACTTCACTTCGGCTTTCGGCTCTGTACCTAGATGTCTCTTGCTAAATAAGCTCTCTATGACAAAAATTGAGTCCTGAGTAACTAACTGGCTGCATTCCTAATTCTCTAACAGAAAGCAGTACACCGTATGCAAAGGTAAATCCTCCTCTGCTGTACTCACTGAAGCCGGAGTCCCCCAAGGCGCTGTCCTCTCCCCACTTCTCTTTTCTTTCTTTCTACATGACTTACCATCTTCAAATGACATTAATTTTGTCAAATATGCTGACGACCTGACTGTATCTTTGCCTGTCAAATATCAAAGTGACTGCTCTAAACTTAATGACTTTCTGTCAGAAATCAGCCAGTGGTCCAAGGAAAACGGTCTTACCTTAAACATCTCCAAATGCCAAACAGTCAATTTCACCTTTAGGCATAAATCCGACCTAAACAAACTGGTTGGCTCTCAGAGATCTCTGTTGCTTATCTTTTCTGGCCATCTGATCTTGAGTATTTAGCAAAGACAACTGTTAATGAAGGTCTGTAGTTTATTTGAGATGCTCTTTATGACGCCCGAAGTCTCTGATCCGTATAGTAGAACTGACTGACTTCACATTGAAGTTGAAAATCCGGATGTTATTTTTGATGCTGAGTGCTGTTGACCTCCACACAGACTTGAGAGTAGTGAATGCTTGTCTCGCTTTTCCGATTATTGTCAAATGAAAACATGGCTTCATCAATCAATGAAATCCACAACAATTAGTTTGAACCAGCCACGTAGGCAGGCGTAAACTGGCTTCCTGGTTGGGGTCCTCGGGACGGTAAAAACCAATGGTTGGAAACAATTGGTGAAATGGCTCAAAATTGTTCTCAATGGCTGGCGCAGATGCATCCACTCCTTGTGACTTATGATTTCCAATGAAACTGTTTTGTTCTTCCTTATTACTATACCTTTGTCTCACATCTCTGTTTACTTTCTCTAATATGCATTTCTCCTACTTTCTTCTCTTGCTTTGTGTGCTACAAGTAGGGAGTGTGGCGACTTGAACTGCCGCACATATGTGCAAAGTTCTGTGTCGAAAACCGACCGACTGCATCATAGATTCAGCTTCCTTAGAAGTTCGTATTCACAAAGTCTTTACGACATATGTGATTACCACATCATTGTAGGATGCAGTTTTACTTTAAAATGTTCATATTGTATGTATAAGGATGATAATAATAACAATAGTCCAATTGTATATTAATTTGTTTATTGGGTATATATCACACAGTAACTGTAACAGTATTATTTCGAATACAGTTTATTTTCCCATAATCATATCGATTATAACTAAACAAAACAACAACTTCGAAACTTGAAATTTGTCAAGAGAGAGTTAACTGATTTCTGAGTAATCGTCGTCACAAAAGCTGTTATCAGCTACAAGTTATGAAAGACAAGTACAACCTACACCTGTGTAACCATTTCATTCTAGTTTGAGACTTTCTCTGGAAGTGTCCCTCATAAAAAGAAGGGATTTCTTCTCAGGGATTTAAATCGACTAAAAATTGGAAAGCGAATAGCTAGTTTGTAGGTCTTTGGCAGTGCCTACTCGACGTTTCCGTGTGACACTGATCCCAAGGACTCTTGTGGGATGCACTTGACTTCCCATTTAACGGGGAGAGGGGGAAATCATTTGGCCTGTGTTTTCAAATTCGTGCTGTTTCGAGGTATACAGCGCAGTTTTTATGGTTCGTGTCGTTGAGTAATTATCTTCGCATCAGACAGATCTATTTAGAGCCTTGCACAGCAATATGCCGATTTAAACTGCTTCACTTTCAAATGACACAAAAAGAAGCGAACAGATTTAAAAAGAATACCGTAATTGACAAGCATTTTATATTAGATGGGTGACAAATGTAAAATTCTTCAATATTTTCAGCATTCTGTGTGTCAGATAACTGGAATAATTCTGAAAACATTCATTACTGACATCATGATGACTTCAGCCGAATAATCAACTCGGCTCATACTTACAGTCAGAGACTTCATAGGTTGGTACCTGTGTTTCGGTGAAACTTGTAAACAAGAAACGACTTTATATACGACTACAATTCAAGGCCTGCGATATACCAAGTGAGATAATTACGAGGAAATTTAAAGAAAATCAGTTCAAAGAACTTTTAATACTGGCTAACTACATGTCTTATTCTCTACACGAGCGATGGTGCTACCTCGACTGAAAGATGAAGTGTACCTAGACTAGCTAGCCACTTCAAATTGTATCTACCAATTCACCAACTGCGCTTGTGGAGCGAGTTATATTGGCCGTTGCTCTAGAAACTTGATTTTTCGTGCTCACTTGAGAACATCTCTCCTTATGGCTAAGTAAAGGTGTAGTGAAAACCGTCAACATTTCGATATCAGACCATCTCGTCCAAACCAGCTATAAAGCCAGCATTGAAGAGTCCTTCTCCACCATCCACTGGGTGCGTAATAAATTGCCAAAAACCTCGAGGCACCGTATGCTCCAAACAGCAGAGGCTATTGCAATTCGCCTCAAACAACCAGTGCTCTATGTTCAAAAGAAACAAGTCCAGCCCCTTTTACTGCCCTGGCCTTCAGTAGAGACTATAAATTCATGAATTTGTAATATTATCTTTCCTAATGTTTCCGACATTCACCTTATTTTATGCTGATGCTATTGAGCTGTAATCTATCTATATCAATTGATTCGATGTTATTTAAACAACATTAATGTTGTTCATAACACTAATTCATTCATTCATTCACTATAATGTATATATATATATATATATATATATAACTGTAGAGCCTGATGATGAAGGGGTTATCGAAAAGAGTACTCTTTGTTCAGTATCCATTCTTTTGAAAACATTTTAATGGGCATTTTTATTCGGTTAAACTTGTATTCATCTGTGCTAGCATTTTGCATTCAAATTACTTGTTGTCATTGGTGGCTAGCTCCAAAGCAGATTTCATATAAAGTTGTAACTCATGGGTATAAAGTAAATTACTCACCAGTTAGTTGGTTTGTGAATGATATTTGCTCTGCACCTCGAACGGAAAGCCTGAAAACCTTAGCAGTGTGACCCATTAATGTTCACTCAACAAAACCTGATGATTCTGAGCTCCATTGTTTTTGTGAGGGACACTTCTAGGGACAGAGAGTCTCAAACTCGAGTGAAATGATTACACAGGTAGGTTGTAGCTAATAACAGCTCTTGTGACGACGATTACTCGGAAATCAGTAAACTCTCCCTTGGCAAATTTCAAGCTTCGAAGTTGTTGTTTTGTTTATGATCGATATGATTATGGGAAAATAAACTGTATTCAAAATAATACTGTTACACTCACTGTGTGATATATATCCAATAAATAAATTATCATAAGAATTACATACGTCCACAGTGGCCAAGTTTTTTATGCATATATGAATTCTTCACCAAATAACAATCTAAGTTTATTTTGGTGTCTTTTCTGATTACATACACACGTGCTTTTTTGTTTTTCGATATACTTTTGTGTAGATTACCTGCTGTTATCACTGTTATACTGCTGTTAACTTCTCCGGGTCAAATGATGACAGATATAGATCCAGTCTTTCAGTTTGGTACAAATCAAGTAAGTTAGATAGGAGTGATATAACTCAATTTATCGTTGAATAGGCAATTTTTATGTGAATAATGCGCCTACTATTGTAGGTGCTGGTTTTCGTGTTTAAGCTAACCTGTTAATAACGTCTCACACTGTTAGACAGATGCTGATTTTATTAATACAACAGTTTATTCTTCATTCCTTTGGTTTTGAGAGGGATATGAAGCTTCAGAAATACATTTTCATTAAATCCAGTTCTCTGTCATCGATTGCTTACAGACTCTCATTCCCCTCATCCCCCCCCCCCCCACCATATGGTCTTCTCTATATCATCTTTGAACGTTCAACCAGTTGCTTCCAACTCGAGGGTCTGTCATGTTATATCAGTGAAATGTCTCCTCACCGTTTCCTTCTGGGTATTATGTGGGTAATAGGTTGTTGGCGGGTTTACTTGCTGTTACATTTCCTTGTTGCTTAAGTTTTCTAGCTGTCCATTTGACTCAACAGGTTACGTGTGCAATATTATCGTAACTAAAAAAATAATAGATGGGAAAGCCTTCTGATTATTTCAGTAAAAAATAGTTTGTCGTTCTTCCAAATAGCACATGATACATTTGCAACTCTTAACCTGGTACATGCAATATCTGTTCAAACAAACAAATATGTATGAAATATTCGTTGTGAAAATCTCTCAACAATCAGATTAATTCATAAATAATTACCATCCAGACATTAATGAAAACAAAACACGTAGTTAATATATGTGTAAAACTTGGGCACTGTGGTAGTAAGTAATTCCATATTAGTTTGTTTATTAGGTATATCACACAGTGAAACAGTATTATTTACTGGATGACCTTTCGAACAAACGAACAAACGTTCGAAACGTCATCCAGTAAATAATACTGTTTCACTGTGTGATATACCTAATAAACAAACTAATATGGAATTACTTATGATACTAACCTAATATTTCTCTGGTACTAACAAAACGGTGTGTTTAATGTTGAATAATTACTTACTCTCTTCGTCGGTGGTTTATTGATAGAACTCCGGTCAACAGCGCAAGTGGTCCAAAGTTCGAACCCCTTCTTTACCTTGCTTAGCCGGTAGGAAGCCGGTTAAAGTGAGAAGATTGAGCGTGAGGCTAGCAACCCTACCCTATGTGAAAAACAAAATCAGTACTGCTGAAACTTGAAAGGTCAAGCCTGAAGTCCTATGTTTCGCTGAGAATTCAAAGGAATTAGGAAAAACCGATTACTTCAGTAGTTTGGGTAGCTCAACCTCGAGTTCTTTCTTCTTTTACTCAGAATATATATATATATATTTAACTGAAGAATTGCCATTGTTTATTCATTATACTTGTTAAGAATCAATGATAGGAAATGTTCGAGGTGAAATTGCACAGTAATGTGATCTACTTGATAACATGAACGGTAATCAAAAGTGCAAACAAGCATTGTGCTTTCTAATGGAGTTGAATTGATTGCAACACCAGATGATATCGTTTGCACACCTTCTAACTGTTTTCAACATAGAACTTTGCACCGATATGCAGCAGTTCAAATCGCCACACTCCATGTAGCACGCAAAGGAAGAGAAGAAAGTAGGAGAAATGCAAAACAGAGACAGTAAACAGAGATATGAGACAAAAAGAATTGTAATATCGATGAACAATATGGTTTTATAGGATATTATAAGTCACAAGGAGTGGGTACATCTGCGCTAGCCATTGAGAACGATTTTGAGCCATATCGCCGATTGTCCCCAGTCATTGGTGTTTAGCGTCCCGAGGACCGCAACCAGTCAGGATGTCTACACCTGCCTAAGTGACTGGTTTAAACTAACTCTTGTGGATTTCATTGACTGATAAAGCAACGTTTTGGTTTGACCACTACTGGCTCTTTTCCAACCTGACCATATATCAGCTAACATTAACTCTTGTCGAGGAAGGCGATAGCTAGGCATACGTAACACATATCCTAACCATCTCGGTCGACGTAACTTCACAGCCTCGTCGATTGATTTCCCCTTCTTACCTAACACTCGACGCCTAACCTCAATATTGCTTGCCCTATTACACCACTTCGCACGAGAGATAGAACGCAGGCACCTATGATCAAACACAACTGGTCTTTTCATGTCCTCCTCTCTCAATAACCATGTCTTCCTCACATCTATAAAGGAGGACGGATCGGACTTCTGAGGAGTACACACGCCCTTTGGTTGACAGCCAGCCGGATATCACGTCTACACCACAGAGGGCGTAAGTTGGGGTGTGCCAAACGAGCTTTCTATATGTGTGCTGAAATTTCGTCAGCGATCAATCTGTTGGCGTTGACTGACGCAACTTCCTAAATAACTCAAGTAGTCAACAGTCTCTACCACTTTACTCCCTATTTCTTAGCTAGGAGTCAGTGTAGTCCAGTCCTGTAACATCCTTTTACATTTAGCCGGAGCGAATCGCATGCCGAATATTCCAAGATTTTTGGCTGTTCAAGGTGTTCAGATGACTCTACATTTTGTGACGGAGGACTATATCATCTGCCTATTGTAAGTCCCTGGTGATAACAAGTCAATCCCTGAGTCGCTGAAGTGAGTTAGGGTTAATTTCATTAGTACATTTATGATGAAATTGAATACAAATGAAGATAGAAAAGTTCTTCTCCGGGGAGCAGATCTACACCAGCACGCACATCCTTCAGAGCTGACTTGAGAATGTAATCGATGGCAAAGTTAAAGAAGAATGGGGAGATTGGGCCACGCTGTCTGACTCCACTGTTGGTTGGTAACAGTGATAACTGTTGGTTGTATGCTGTCACTCTACCAAGTAACTGAGTAGAAAAAAGCACCACTATCAAGTTAATAAATATCTTTTCCACATATCAAATTGAGTTATGAATGAATGTTTTCTCTTTAAGAGAAAAAAACTGTTTCTTTTCTTCTACTTCTTTTCTTTTTTAAAAAATTTTTAGCTTATTATTTCACTAGTGGTATTGATACTCAATGCAGCCATCACTTTGGCATGTCTGATTGCCTTTAAACGAATGGAAGCACCTGTTTACGATTCCTATGAGATTACAGATACATCACAAGTAAGTGTTTAGTTTGCTATTTTCTCTCTCTGTTAACCTATTCAGAATTATATTACTTATCATCCTATGAAATGGTTATCTTCCATACTTTGATTGAAGACTGGTTAGTAATTAGTGTCTAGTCCATTGTTTGGTGCAGACTGAATTCTGTGGGTGAAGTTCGCAAAGTGGCCACCATATTAGGTGGTTCACCATCACGGTAGTGAAATAAGGAAGTAGTTGGCTGCTGCTCCAAAAAGGCCGTGAAATGAGCACAGTTTAAGTAAGATAAGTATTCACTTTATGGTTGGTATTGAGGATAGTTCAGGTCACTGGATCCTGGGTTCAAGACTCGCATCATCCATTTACTTAATTCTTGCCACTTGGGTAGAATCATTATCCTTCATTACACAAGTAAGTAGCATGCCTTATAGCCTGATATCTGAGTAATCTGTTCCGGGGTAGAATGGTGTTCTAAACTATAGCGACCTATGGAATGTGTTAACGCACCATTGACCTTAGGGTGACCGATCAGAAAATCCAGTGATTTTTTTACATAATAATAACGTTTATTTACAAGAGAATAATGATAAAATACACATTAAAAAACAGGATATTTTCTTCCCTGTACTGACTTAAAAATACCTCTCAATTACAATGAAAAGTATTAGTTTCTAGGTTAAACCGGTTTCTGTGTGCATGTATTCATCGAATTGACTGAAGATGAGTTCTTTTTGTGACCTATTTATCGCTGCTATATCCTGTTTTTCAGTCTTCCTTATAAGCCGTCGATTAAATTAGTATGGTTTCTAGTAAGAGGGTGTGGAGGTCGACAACCATTTACTACAAACATGCAGATAATAAAAATGAAACATCCTCATTTTAATCCCAAGCCTAACGCTAATCCTTACCTTGATCCTAACTCAAATCGTAACCCTAATCATAACCTTAACCCCCAAGCCTAACCGTAAACATAACCTCAATTTGTGCACAGTGTCCATAGTGCTGGTAAAATAGTGGTAGATCCCGTTATCCAATGAATGGCGTGCGCTCAAGGTTATTGGCGCGTCCTCACTCCTCGATACACTATACTTTAACTTGGTCATGTTGTTATTCACCTAACTAAAGGTGCCTTGATTTTACAATCTAACATAGCTAATTCTCCTTGTTCATTTTCCAATTCAAATGTGAATTTTATTCCCTCTACTTAATGAGTTTATATGTGTCAAGAAGGTAGAGATATTTTCTGTTTTTAAGACTGAAAGTGTCGTCCACATATCTTCACCATATTTTTGGAGTAGGATTAAATGTATTTAGAGTAATATTTTCCCAGCTGTCCATAAATATATCTTCTACGATGGGGGATATTGGCGATCCATCCCATTGCTACACCTTTTGTTTATCTATATATTTTGCCCTGGAATTTAAAGATGGTAGATGTGAGGCATAACTAAATTCCTAAAATAATTTCCTCATTGGGCAGCTTCTTCCTATCGGTAAGTTCAGGATCTGCAGTTAGTTCTCTTTTAACTGCTTCTAAGGCCAAGCTGACTGATATATATGAGTATAAGAACTAGTTACATCAAAACTAATCATTGTTTCATCATTCCCTAGTTGAATGCCATTTAGTTTATTTTTTATTTCATATGAATTAGTTAGCAGAGAGTTTGAATGATTCCTAATGGGACACACAGTATTAGAGCTAAATGTTTTTGATAATTCATATATCGACGTATTTCTGAAATCTACTATTGGTCTTATGTGGTAACCTGGTTTATGTATTTTTTGATAGTGTCACATATATTCTACTAGCGTTATCAGTTTCGGGCATTAAATTAAACCACCTAGACTTACCCAGCCTGTAGAAGATAATGTCTTGATTTTATTTCATTTCAGACAGGATATCAAACATCCAATGGACAATTTCACCAATTTCATAATGAATCGAATTCACCTGATGATGAAGTTACTAGTCAAAGGCGGATAGGACAAGTTTGTCAATGTAACATGTCAACAGCTGGCAACAGTAATCCGACGCCTCCTACTGCTGGTGCTGTTGACAGTTGTGTTTGTGCTGATACACTCAACTATTCTGCATTATTCAAATGTGAAGAAAGTTGTTCAAGTGGAAAACGTCAATCCGACCAACAACAAAGCGAACATGAACAAAAACAATTTCGACAACAACAACAACAACAAATAATCAGGCGACAACCATCTTGTAGTTATGCTGGATTCTGTGATCGCTGTGATAAAAGACAAAGGAAAGAGTGTGCAAAGTAAGCTCAGATATTGGGTATTTTTTGTTTTGTTTAAAGATAGTGAGTGGCTGATTAAAAAATTAACATTTGAGGAGTATTGACGCCTTATGTATTTGTATAGCTTCATATCGATTTATGCACTGCTTCAGCTCTTGTTAGCATTGACAGCGTTAAACCACAAAAAATGAATCATTTTTGCTTGGAGTTGGATAAGAAGCTAATATCAGTTAGATTACCGCTGAACAGCTGTTTCGTCCTAGTTTGAGACTCTTCATAGATGTGCATCCAAACCAGGACGTTCCGGTTACAAGGCTAGCGAGCTTGCAGACCATTCAGCCACTGGTAGCCGATCCAATGATCAGCTCATGAATTCTAGCTTCTGCCAATTGATGATATGGCGCGACCACTGGGGAATGTCATCTCTGGCGAGTATTCGTCCTCATAACTGACCTGCTGTAGCCCACTGGTCACGAATTCCCACTAGAACCCAGGTAACTACCTACCTAACTGAATGGAGTCAGTCAGTAATGAGCGTCAGATTGATATTCAAGTATGAGTGTGCAGGGATTTGATTGGTTTCAGGATTTCATCATGAAGTGACATTGGTCGGAGGACCACTGGAAAACCTGGGAGTATTGGGCGACTGTTTTGAAGCCCTATGTTCCAGTCAATACCCAAGGGAATGACTGACTGACTGCCTGGTTTCAATACAGAACTTTGGAGAGATGTGTAGCAGTTCGAGTTGCCACTCTCTCTCCATGTATCACGCAAAGCAAGAGACATTCAAAAGAGAGATAATAAATCGAAGTGTGAGTGAGGGAAAAAGAATAGTAATATGGAAGAACAATAGAATTATATTGGATATTATAAGCTGCAAAGAGTGAATGCATTGAGAACAAATTTGAGCCATATCACCAATTGTTTTAAGCCACTGATTCTTATCATCCTGAGAACCCCAACCAGGAAGTCTATGCCTTTCTACGTGGCTTAAACTAAATGTTATGAATTTGATTGATTGATGAAGCCATGTTTTGGTTTGACCACCACTGGCTCTTTCCTAATCTGATCCATTCTATGTCAGCTAACATTGCCCGTCGAGGAAGGCGATGGCTAAGCATACATAACACATATCCTAACCATCTCAGTCGTTGTAACTTCACAGCCTCGTCGATTGATTTCCCGTGCTAACGCCTAACCTCAATATTGCTTATCCTATTTTCCCTTTTTAACACGGGAGATGATAGGACGCAGGCACCTAAAATAAAACACAGCTAGTCTTTTCATTTCCTCCACTCTCAATGGTCATGTCTCACAGCCAGCCATAAAGGAGGACGAAGAGGACTGCTGAGCGATACACACGCTCTTTGGTTGACAGCCAGCCGGATATCACGTCTACGTCAGAGACGCCGTAAATTGGCAGGCACATGCCAAACGAGTCTTCTGTATCCATACTAAGATTTCGTCAACGATCGACTCGCTGGCGTTGGCTGATGCAACTCGCCAAATAAGTGAATTGTTCAGCACGCTTCACCAACCATTTCACTCTTCTCTGTCTTTAAGCTAGGAGTCGATGTAGTCCAGTCCTGTAGCATCATATTACATTTGACAAGGAGAGAGAATCGCATGCCAAACATTCGAAGATTGCCACTCCTCAAGGTGTTCAGAAGACTCTACATTTCGTCAGCTTCCTCACCTAGTAGGACTAAGTCAACGAGATTATTCCATGGTAGCCTCTGAAGTCAGTTGGGGCTTAGTCCATTAGTACATCCATGATGAAATTAAATAGAAATGGGGATGGTAGGCATTCTTGATGGACACTACTGGTTGTCCCCACTTCAGATGAGAAGTCTTCGTAGGCTGTCACCTGGCTTGCCGCGTGAGTTTGACTGTCGTGCACGAAGTATTTTCTCGTCATTCCCTTCTCAGCCAAACATCGTCATAGTACCTCTCGGTCGATGGAATCGAATACTGCCTTTAGGTCAAGAAATATGACGATTGTTTGACGCCGGTAAGTATGCCTATTCTCCTGAATCTGTCGAAGTGTGAAGATATGATTAATACACTCTCTTCCGGGTCTACAACCTGCCTGGTTCTCTCGTGTTTGTTCTTCTCGAGAACCACTTAGTCTACGCGTGATTGTTTAGCCTAGACTAAGCGGTGAATGAATAATAATAATAATAATGATAATAACGACAGCTGATCGATAGGATTGTGAATCGATAATGTCCCATATGATCACGTGGTTCTCTGAACTAGTACAGATACTAATGTGATAGTATCCCGATGAAGAAATAACGATGTAATAATGATAATGATTATAACAGTAGTGAAATATGAAACGTGATCTAACTAACACCTGACAGTACAAAATGCATCAAAAGAAATACATGTGAACTGTATAAAAATTTATTGATCGATAAACATTCTGCTTCTAATCACAAATAAAATTATTTTAAGTACTACACAAATTTTATGTTTCACCGTCTTAATTCACTGATTCAAGTTGTGTTCGAAGGTATTATTCAATCATTGCACTGCAAAAAAAGCTAACACTGAGCAATAACGGTACTTCCAGGTGTTGCCGAATGAGGTCCACTAAGTCTGGTATGAGGACTTATACTGGCTGATTGTAGGCGTTATGTATATCGTCAGAATCCATAAGCCATTAGATTCCGCCGTCCCACGTTCTCCAACATAATGTGAATGACTTTTAGTCTAAACGCTATCTGAATGAGCTTTCTAGCACGATAGTACATGCAGGAACATTCGCACCAACCAGTGGTTCTTGTTTTTCCAAAGTGGATAGATAGGGTTAAATATTTCGGGGTCTGATACAGTTGGTTTCAATTTGTCACTCTCGATATTGGTAAGACAATAAAGTTGAATGAACGAAGTCAACAATATATGACAATAGAAAGAAATTAAAATGTACAACAGTAATTCAAGAATTATACAAAGATGTAGTAACTACAAGGGATTGTACTTGCTTCACCATCTCTAGTCTATCTCTATTCTTCGCTCTTAGCATTGATCTTAACTTTGTGTGTATTAATTTTACGTAATTTTGTTGCTCTATAAGTTTAACCGTACGCTGGTAGAAAGTTTCTCAGTCATGCCACAGGTACAGGTCCGATTCCCGGCAGATACACTCCCTAACCTCGCCTAGTTTACTTACTGACCAGTATTAAACCGGGAAAAGTGAGGAGGGTGAGTGTGAGGCGAGCCATCGCCTCCCGTAAAAGCAATATCACTGCTACTGTAATTCTAAAGCCTGAATCCCTCTGTTTCTCTTGAAACGGATGGAATGAAGAAAAACCAACTTTAACCTCATAAATTCCTTTCCAAATAAATCTACCTAATGCCTAGAGAATGTTTAAACTTTCCAATTCGTTATTAACCTCCATCCAGGCATTGTTGAAAACAAAACGCGTAGTTCAGTGAATAGACTCTTTTCATGATGAATTGACTCCCCCCCCCTTAGCTGTACAATCGCATTTATTATACAACCTCTTTTTTCATGAAAGAGGGTATTAAGAAAAAGTGATGAGTCGAGACAAACAAAGCTGTTAATATTAATCAATGCATAAAAGAAGTTGCGTAAGTGTATAAGAGTTAAGTTATATAAGAGGAATAATTTATTGTGAATGAGTTGTAATCAGGATGCAAATAAAAATGAAGGGAAATATGGAGTTGTGTAAGAGGTCTAAAGAAATACAAAGGTTAGAAGAAGTTAGAAAAGCAAAAATCAAGTCAAGAGAAATTAGGAAAAAGGTTGTTACCATGGTAGTAGTAGTGTGATGGTGTGATACAGATAACTTGTTCCAATGGAATATTATTCTCACAGTAAGAATAGTTGTATTTGTTGATGTTAACGTCTGAATACTATTCCCACAGTTCAATGGCGCATCAGCAACAGAATCCTATATATGTATATTTGAACCTTCTATTTCATGTCGTCTAATATAAACCAAAATCACACGCTCAGTGATCGGTTACACTTGGTGTCGCTGTCTGGTGACAAATGAATAGCCTATGCCCAGCAGTTTTTGAAGAAGGAAACATGTCGATCTTCTTGCAGCACTTCGAGGCTGTTGCGGAGATGAATGGCGTTCAAGATCTGTCATCGAAGAGGCTGTTACTCGGGACGCTGCTGCGAGGTTGGGCGAAGGCAGCATATGATACTGTGTGGTGAAACACTGGCGAATACGCGCCAGGATCACGCAAACTGCCTCCAGAGTGGGAAGGATTATACACGCTCACGGCGAGACGGGGTCATGCATTTACCATCAGAAATGCAAACAAATAGAAGTGAGTGGACGTCATTGAGCTCTTGAACCGGAAACAGCAAGACAAGCAAACAAAGACGCAAGCACCAAGAGGACCGAATCGATTTCAGTGTAGGCATAGCTCCGGTTTCTGTAACTGGATGGCTAAAGCTGTAGCAATGTCCAGAGGAGAGGAAAGTATATTTATTCTCCTTGGCAATATCTTCTTCACACATTGTAGATAACTTCTAAGGAGGCGTTTGTTGAGATAGTAGAATGACCATTGTTGACAAGGTGTTCCATTATCTCACCCCTTAAAGAGTCACTACTGTCTTTTCCAAAAATGTCTTGAACCCTTTCAGACAGGCTACACGTTTAACGACCAATGTGCCTCGCTCTGCAGGAACAGGCGAACTGATATATAAGCATACAGAAGTAGTCAGATGCGAAATCTTGTACTTAAGACTTCGACAGACTAATGTACATCTGAAGAGCATTACTCTAAGCGTTGCTGCGAAGAATCTTCTTCTCAAAGGTGATGAAGTTCTTCTCTTATGGATATCTCAGGTTAAACCTCTCCTGAAATCCAGGTTTATGTAAAGTTTCTATTTTGCAACAAGTAGTGTTTCGTTCTCGTGAACTTTTCGCTTCATATTCTTGTCAATGAATCTTGGTGGATATTCATTTTAGATGAAGGTTGTTTTTCTTCAGAAAATCTAGTTCTGCTTCTAGGACGTCAAGATTGCAGATGCGAGTGGCTCCGGGTGGCAAGCGGTATAATTGAATTTTGTTTTTTTTATTCAACAGTCACCCAACTGTAGAAACTTGTTTGTTAGTTTGGTGTAACTACACTTATACGCTTATTCAACTTCTTTTATGCATTGATTAATATTAATAGCTTTGTTTGTGACAACTCATCACTTTTGTTACTAGCCTCTTCCTCGAGAAGGGGATTGTATAATAAAAGAGATTGTACAGGTGAAAGGGAGGAAAAATCAATTCACTATGAAAAGAGTCTCTCGCCTGAATTACGTGTTTTGTTTTATATTATTTATTATTATTATTGTTCCCTTGGGTTCCTAGTGGAACATAGGGCTTCAACTGCACGTCTCCACTTGCTTCTGTCTTCTGCTATACTTTTCCATGTCACTCCATACTGTTTCAACTCCTCTTCACACGATCTCCTCCATGTCACTCTTGGACGTCCCACTCGGCGCGTCTCTTTCGGGTTCCACTCGAGGGCCTGAAGCGCGATGTCACCCAGCGGCCTCCTCAGCGAGTGTCCAATCCATCTCCACTTCCTGCTGCATATTTGTTGAGCGATTGGTTCTTGTTTTGCTCGTTCCCATAGCTTCTTGTCGGTGATTCTTTCCGGCCATCTGATCCTCAGTATGGAACGAAGACAGTTGTTGATAAAGGTCTGCAACAGGCTGTTGGAAATATTCTTTGTGACCTGTCAAGTTTCTGGTTCGTATAGAAGAACTGACTTGACGTTTGTATTGAAAATCCGAATTTCGTTGTTGATGCTACAGAAAATTCAACGCATAAATATTGTCTATGAGGCTAAAATTAGGGTGGCATTTAAACCAACCAACCAACGAACTCTTTTAGACATAATCTTTTTCGGCTTAAGGACTCGCCTAATAGATCCAATTAAGAAAAATAATAATATAATTTATCAAAGACCAAATGGTGATGACTGTGAGGTCAATTACACATAAGTTAAACTAGTTAGGTTGGGGTCAATTAGATTATTGGAGCATACAAATCTTGCCATAACCTAAAATGGTTGACCTTACTACGTTAAATAACCTAGCAAAAAAAGCTCAACTACTACTGTATTGCATTGACTAACACGTAATCACACACTCAACAGCGTGGGACAGGGTGAGAGTATTAAAAAGTGACATAGTTAAGTGGAGATAGAGAGGTGAGGTTAATTATCACTGTATCTTTGTTTCAATTCATGTGTAATGCCCATCCAGGCATTAATGAATATCAAACACGTAGATCAGCGAAGAGTCTCTTTTCGGCGAATTCATTTTCTCAGCTGTACAATCGGAAATATATGTGTTATTTTGTATGTATGTGTATATTAAAATTGTTAAACAAAAATACAATTGGTTATAATTATTTTAACTAAACAGGTGAAGATTGGTAATTGGAGTTACGTAATACAAAATTAGTTAAAAAAATTGGGTGTCATTGAAATTAGGGCAGTAACAAAGGTGGTGAGTTGTCACAAACTGTTGTTAAAAGAAGTTATGTAATAATTGAATAGTTTGATGAGTGAGTTTTACTCAGGATGCACATAGGAACAAAGTAGATAATATGAAATTAAGTAAGGGTTCTAAATGAATACAAGAATTATAAGCAATTAAAGAACAGGCAAAGAAACAAAATTACGTATGCCTAGTCATCGCCTTCCTCGACGGGCAAAGTTAGCTGATATAGGGTCAGACTGGAAAAGAGCTAGCGGCGGTCAAACGAAAACATGGCACCAGTCAATGAAATCCACAACAGTTAGTCTAAGTCACGTAGGAAGATGTAGACTTCCTGACTGGTTGGGCTCCTCGGGACGGTAAAAACCAATGGTTGGAAACAATTGGTGACATGGCTCAAAATCGTTCTCAGTGGCGCAGATGCATCCACTCCTTGTGACTCATGATTTCCAATGATACTGTTTTCTTCTTCGTTATTACTATTCATTTGTCTCACACCTCTGTTTACTGTCTCTAATATGCATTTCTCCGACTTTCTTCTCTTGCTTTGTGTGCTACAAGGAGGGAGTGTGGCGACTTGAACTTCCGCACATATGTGCCAAGTTCTATATCAAAAACCGACCGAGAAAGCCATTGTATTCAAATGTCTGATCATCAGTTTTTACCAATGTATATAAATGAAGCAAGAAAGTTGTATGATTAATGCCTTGATATGATTATGAGCGGTAATAAATTGTGCTCGAAACGTGGCCATCAGTAAATATTACTGTATAACAACATGGTGTGTGACTTTATCAAAATAAATTCTACGCACAATGGAGTTGCGTTTTTGAAGTTGCTTACTCTGGAGAATTGATCTTACTACTGAATTCTCTTTCGTGGTGCGGCTTCGGTTGCTGTCGAAGAGGGTAGTGAAGAGGGAGAGAGAGAGTATTTTCTGTGTAGACACGTGTGTGTGTAGCTTTCAGCCAGTAGGTTTAGGGAATCTCCCTCTCCACCTACTCCAGCTTGTTCAACTGAATGTAGGTATCATCATTCCTTATCACATAGTAAGAGTGTGTGTGACACATATCCTCACACACACACACACAAATGCAAAACATTCCCCTCGTAGAGAAATAGATAAAAATGTGAATAATTTTTTTATCTCTTATCGAAGAATTTTCGCTTTTTTTGTTTTACATATATTTTATAGAATTCTTGCCCGTTATTGTGCAACCAATCAACTGCAATCCACTTCATCGTCATCATCTCTAGTCTCAAGAAGTCAACAAATGCCTACAGGACCATCTGAATTGGAAGATATTCTTCTTCAAGAGAATAATGCTAAACCGTTTCATCATAAACATGCTATATTCTTGATATTAACTCTGGTTACAATGTTCTTTGTAAGTTATGTGTTTTTAGTGTGTATGTCTTCAGTTTTAGAGTCAGTCGCTAAAATGTCTCTTCATCACAGGTTGACTGTCTGTATCAGTGAAGGTAAGTTTCTTCTATTTTTAGACATGGTGGAGAAGATTTGTAGCTCAGGTGGTTGATTTTGATGTAGCTGTGTTCTCTGAACTGGATATTTAATTTTCGAAGCTTTCTTTACCCTACTCGGCAGCATCTTCAGCGCAGACTTCAATTCAATGAAGTGAGCTGTTAGATTTCTTCACGAGTTTATTAGTCATCTCTCCTGATTGATGACTTTGAACGTGATTGGTTGTTTTCGTGTGTTTTCATACCCTGTAGGCGGCTTGTATTCATACTGATTGTTTCCTTGACCTGAAGTGTGACCCTTTGTGTGCGTGAGATTTCCTTCTTATCGATTGGTGAATTTCGTCTATGTCAATGTGCTTATTGATTGACGATTCACTGGAATATCAGGATTCTGAAAATTCTCTGAATTTCTTAATGTTTCCTCTGTCTAATATTCGAAAACACCACATTGGCCAAGGTGGACGTTCCCTTCGTCTTCACATCTATAAACGTAAACTAGACGTCAAAAGGCATGACTTCCACTGCCCCCCCCCTCATATCGCTGCCTACAGAAAACCACGGACATCAGTTTCACTGGGACAACGTTGAAATATTAGACAGGAAGCACCGAGAATTCCAGAGAATTTTCAGAAGCCTGATATTCAATTGAATCGTCAATTAATAGATAAATCGAGATAGACAAAATTTACCAACCGATAAGAACGAAATCTCATACACACAAAGGGTCAAACTTCAGGTCAAGGAAACAATCAGTCCCAATACAAGTAGCATACAGAGTATGAAAACACACGAAAACAACCAATCACGTTCACGGTCATCAATCAGGAGAGATGGCTAATAAACTCGTGGAGAAATCTAACAGCTCTATTCATCAAATTGAAGTTTGAGCTGAAGATGTTGCCTAATAGGGTAATGAAAGCTTCGCAAATAAACCATCCAGCTCAGAGAACACAACTGCATCAAAATCAACCACCTGAGCTACAAATCTTCTCCATCATGTCTAAAAATAGAAGAAACTTGCATTCACTGACACAATGATTCCGTAGAATAGGAGTTAGTTTGAAAATCCCAAAGGATGATATACTTATCTGGTTGGAGTGACTGGTCGAAGAATTCTTACTTATCTCATCATCACTGAACAGCTGTTGAAAGCGAAGATTCCACAACCGTAGCAAACATACAGAATAACCAGTTATCGTTTAGATCAGAAAAATAATCGAACTGAATAAATTAAAATGCTTTCCGATTGTGTATTGCTTTTGCCTCATTACGGACGACTTTTGGCTGCTATCAACAATCTCAACTTACGTGAAACTCTTGTGAAGACAGTTCAGCATTTATCCAACGTTAAGAAGTTTGTAAGTGTAGTGGAAACACGTAGTATCCCATCGGCTTAAGCACACAACTTTCAGTCAGTTGATCCGAACCTCGCATCCTTACTTCAGACCCTAAGTCTGCTGATTTCTCCTTAGAGTGCCTGAAACAAAATGAGCATCAATGTTGTGTGACTGCAGAGCCCAGGGGACAGATGCCTGAGGTCGATCACACATGGCCTGTTTGAAGGACGAGTGTTTATTAGTTTCGTCCGTATTAAAATCTCACCTCCGGCTACGGACTGCCACAAACGAATTCGGGATGTACAGTTTTCGGGGTCGACCGTCTCTAACCCTCTGTCTCCAGAAGGGAAAGGCAACACAGGTGACATGCTGGTCATCTGAGGGCCAGCAGTACGACCTCACTCGCGGACCTTCAACTTAGTGTAACTAACTTACACTATGCCGGTAACTGCTTCCAGTCCAACTACTATCCACTCGACTTTTCGGGTATTTCAGAACCTACAGGAACACTAGTTTCAGTCAGTGTAGCCCATCGGGTCATCGCGATAAGCTAGCCTGACCATCACGTAAAGGTTAGCAGCTGTCGGTCGGTTTCAGTCTTGGTAGCTAACTGAGTAGTGCTGCCAACATCCACAGAATATATGTGGCTTATTGCAATATGCATGCGAAGTCTGTTTCCTATAGATGAGTTCTAAATCACCTTTAATGTAACAAACCTTAGCAGCTTTCAGAATTCCTATGAAATACAACTGAATTCTTATTGGTTTGTTCTGCATGCGCATGTGTGAGTGTGTGTTTGTATACAACTGTTGGTATTGGAAGTTATGCAAATCGAACACTTTCGTCCTATTTGTATCTGTTAATTATTGTTTTACAATATCTCTTCAGTGAAATGCTTGAAATGAGTGTACGTTTATTGGTGTATGGAGATTCCATATCGGTAATGTTTTTTTATTTTTCATTTTAGGGTATTTGTTTATGCACTTGGCGTCTGGTACACGATGCTCCAACTGGCATATACATAGTTCTAGAATTCTTGGATGGTTCATTAAACTTTGGTCAAGGAGTAATATTATTTGTGCTGTTCGGTTTAGATACAGACTTGTTACTTCTACCAATGAAACGTTTGTAAGTCACTCTATTATTATTATTATTATTACAACATCACGTAGGGAGGTGTAGACTTCCTGACTGGTTGAGGTCCTCGGTTTTTTAAGAACCAACGAAGATTGGAGACAATTGATGGGGCTCAAAATCGTTCTCAATGGCTGGTGCACATGCGTTCTGTCTCTCTGTTTTTGACATAGAACTTTGCACATATGTGCGGAAGTTCAAGTCGCCACACTCCCTCCTTGTAGCACACAAAGCAAGAGAAGAAAGTAGAAGAAATGCATAATATAGAAAGTAAACAGAGGTGTGAGACAAAGGAATAGTAATAACGAAGAACAAAACAGTTTTATTGGAAATCATAAGTCACAAGAAGTGAATGCATCTGCGCCAGCCATTGAGAACGATTTTAAGCCATGTCACCAATTGTGTCCAGCTGTCATTGGTTTTTACCGTCCCGACGACCTCAACCAGGAAGTCTACACCTTCCTTCGTGGCTTAGACTAACTGTTGTGGATTTCACTGACTGGTGCCATGTTTTCCTTTGACCGCCGCTAGCTTTTTTCCAGCCTAACCCTATATCAGCTAACATTGCACGTCGAGGAAGGCGATGACCAGGCATACGTAACATATGTCCTAACCATCTCAGTCCATGTAATTTCACAGTCTCATCGACTGATTTCCCCTCCTTACCTAGCACTCGAAGGATGCTTGACCTCAATATTGCTCACCTTATTATACCACTTCACGCGGGAGATAGAACGCAGGCACCTTTGATCAAAGACAGCTAATCTTTTCATGTCTTCCACTCTCAATAGTCGTGCCTCACAGCCAGCCATAAAGGAGGACGGAGCGGACTGATGAGCAGTACACACGCCCTTTGGTCAACAGGCAGCAGGATATCGCGTCTACGCCAGAGACGGTGTAAAGTGGCACATGCGAAACTAGCCCTCTGTATTCGTACTGAGATTTCGTCAGAGATTAACCCGTTGGGGCTGGTGGTACTTCCCAAGTAAGTGAAGCGGTCAACGTGCTCTGTCACTTCACTTCCTATTTCTAATCTAGGAGGCGGTGTAGTCCAATCCTACAACATCATCTTACATTTTACAGGGGCGAATCGCATGCCAAACAAACGAAGATGCGTTCACTCTTTGTGATTTATCATATCCAATAAGATTCTATTGTTATTCCATATTAATATTCTTTTTGCCTCACATTTCTGTTTGTTATCTGTATTTTGAATCTCTACTCTTCTCTCTTACTTTGTGTGGTACATGAAGAGAGAGTGGCAACTGGATCAGTTGCACATCTGTGCAGTGTTCTGTATTGAAAGCAGTCAGTCAATTAGACAGACAGACAGTGATAATAACAATGAAGGTCTTTGCATCGCCCACCACGCTGTGTCCGAAACTTGTATCAATCTAATTTAACAGCTATATAAAGACACCACATGTTAAGTGATCCGAAATAGAAAAAACTTAGCAAAGACTTCAACGTGAAGACAGGAGTAAGACAAAACCTCTTACTATCGCGGATAGTATTCCTGATTGTGGTAGACTGGATCTTACGGCAGACTGTGAGGAGCAAAAAGACAAGAATACGTCCTACCGATATGAAAACTTCAGGCAATCTGTACGTCTCGGGGTGATTTATGTCCGATATCATACAAAGGCAAAAATCTACAAACGGAATCCAACAGGTTTTCAGAATAAGTAGCCAAGACAGGACTCCAAGTGAACTTAGAGAGAAAACATAGGCGATGAATACAATACCCGAGGAGCAACAGCAACAAGCATCAACCACTACCAAGGGTAGTAATTTGAAGTAAGAGGCTTCCTTCAGTTATCTTGACATCACTGTTTGAACCACAGGTGTCACAGATGAGAATTTCAACGGCAGGATCGGAAAGCGGCAAAACAGACTTTCATTAATCTGAAATCAATCTGGATATATTCTGTAATCAAACTCAGGAACAATACTGACAAGTGACTGAGTTTGTCTATATGGTTCAGAGACTTGGATTGTCACGGAAAGCATTTCTAACACGTCACTTCAGATCTTCGTTAGCAGCCAGCTTTGCTCCAACCTGAAGATCAGCTGACCGGAAATGAAAGGCAGCAAATAACTCTATCAACGAACCAATCGCCCCAACAAATATTCCGAAGGAAATGTAGATAGGTCAGGAACCCCGTTGAGTAAAATCTAGTGCTAGACAGACCATTTAATGAAATCTGAATAGAACAGAAATGGCGAGTTGGGCATCGCTTCAAGGGTGACGTTAGGAAGATTGTTTGGGGAGGAGATGACAGCTTATGAGCAGTCGTGGAGTCAAGTAAAGAGGACTTCAGACAGCAGGACGATGTGATTAGAAGATTCTAGAAGTCCTGGATTTCGCGCGTGGATGATTTATGTTTAATGTCACACCAACTTGAAGACATGCAGGCGGAAACCAACAAACTGGCAGAAAAAGTGACTAAGACAGGAATTCAAGTGAATCTCGAGAAGATGGAGGTGATGAAAATAACCACCAACAGACAGCGACAACAACCAGTACCAATCACCATCAGTGGGAAAGATCTGATAGAGGTCACTCACTTCTTTCACTTATCTGGCTAGGAAGTGTCGTTTCAACTACAGGCACTCAGAACAGATGAAGATGTCAAAGAAGGCCAACCAGAATCGGAAAGTTAAGATACACCTTCATCAAACTGAAACCAGTTAGTTTGGAAATCTTCTCCACTCACTCACTCAGTCAGCATAAACAACAGGATTGGGATTTTCAACACAAATGTCAAGTGAGTCAATTCTTCCATACGGGTGAGAAACTTCAACTGCGCGTGAGGTACGAAAAGGATTTTCAACAGCCTCTTGCAGACTTTTATCAACAGCTGCGTCCTTCGCCGGCTGGCTCCATACTGAAGATCAAATAGTCAACCGACTGGCCAGAAAGAATTAGTGACAAGAAACTCTTCAGTGGAACAAACCAGCAAGCAGGAGCCGATCACCCAACAAATATGTAGGAGAAAATGGAGATGGATTGGTCGGGCATACATTGAGGAGGCCGTCGAATGACATCACACGCAACGCAACGCAGGCCATCGCTCGAGTGGAATCTGAATGGGAAGCGCCAAGTGGGTCTTCAGTGCAACGGTGATATGGAGGAGATCGTTTGGTAAGGAGGAGATGAAAGATTATGGGTAATCGTGAGGTCAGTCAGCTGAAGAGGACAGCGGAAAAATTGCACAAAGTGGATATGTTTTGTTGAAGCCTTGTGTTCCACTCGGAATCCAGAGAAATAATAATTAGAAGAAGAATAATAAACCTCTTACCTCTATTAAAAGTAAAAATAATAACAAAAAATGAGGAGTATATTGCTCACATTCGTCTCTGAAGGTGTATCGATTAACATACTATGCATGCCAAGCCACTGTCTTCCTTGTTGATCAGTGTTAACTGACATAGAATTAGCTTGGGATAGCTTTGAGAGAGTGGAATAGTCAAATCAAAACCTGGAGTGTCAATCCATGACGCACGTCTATAACTCTTGGTTTGAGTTATATGAGGGCGGCGGGGGGGGGGGTGGTTGTAGATTACCACCTGATATAATGGTCTTTTGGATGTTAAGATCTAATGACTTGAAACTCTTGATGATATTTCTCAAAATAGTTGTCAGTGATACGTATGCATTCACTCTTTACAATCACCTAAATCCCTTGAGTCTTCACATACTTCTCCATGTGTAGAGGTATTCTTTCTCCCCACATTGTATTATTTACTTCTTTGTGTTTTCTGTTTTTGTTGCTTCTTTTGCCTCTCACTAAGCTTTACACGTTGGTACCGTGAATTTTCTGGAAGATTCTTCATTGGAAGATTCTTGAAATCTCCATCTCAAGATAATATTAATAATAATGAAATTAATCGTATAGTTAATCAATTTGTTAAATTCCATTTGGAATCATGTTCAAAGAGTATATGCCATGGGAAAGTGTAAGTTTTGTAGTTTTGTTGTTTGTTTTTTGTGTGGACCACCAGTCTTCACCTGTGTTATTGTTTGCTGTTTTTCTCTCAGTATTGTTAATTTCTTTGGACTTATTATTTTGAAGTTTAGTCACTTAGAGAACCATTAAAAAGCAGCATAGGGTACTGGATAGCTGTTTCGTCATTGATTGGGACTCTTCAACACTATGCATCTTATAATCAATCGTATCAAGGATTGAAAGCAGGACCTTTAAGGTCACATTTTGACAAGCTTTTTGACGATTCAGCTACTGGACGAGAATCCAATAGCTTTTCGATCCTAACTTCTTCCACTTCGCGATATTAGATGGTTGGAGGCGATCGGCAGGAAGCCCAACCTGATCTAGGTTTCGTGCCAGTGGGCACTCACCAGTCAGCAAGGCGTATCTGCAACCGCTTTGAAGGAATTCATATCCCTTCTGAGATTCGAACCCACGTCACCCTGTACCGTCTGCAGTTAGAGACGTTACCAGCTATTCGGACTCGCGATTGACCTCCTGTAAGACTTTATTGGATACTTTGATTGGGCACTAGTTACTTCTGTTCAACAAATCGGCGATATATGACGACTTATTATTATGCTCAGAAATCAGTGGTTAGCCACGGGAACAGTTATTCCTATCATACATCAATTATGAAGACGTTTTTGTGACGTTGATGAATTAAAAGTGTTCAGGATGAACAGTCATCTATGAGATGTAAGCATAAGTCAATTACAAGTTCTAGTGTGGACAAGCATAAAAATTATACCTTGATGGTATATACTACTGACTGATTAATATGAAACGTCAACCAGTAATAGTAGTAGTTCTTGGTTGTTAGGTCAAAATGATCTAAACACCGGATGGCCGTTGTACTCGTCTTTGGAGCTGTGAGCTCATCACCGGTGTAACCCGAATGGATTTAGCTCAGGCAGGTAAATCAGTTCACACTAACAGAATTGTGGCTAGTCACCTAGTTAAACTGATTAAGTAAAATCTCTAATTAATATTCAAATTGAAAAAAAGTATGGTTACAGGATTTCATCATGAGCTGACATTGGTTACAGAACCATTGGAAAACCAGCTGGGAGTATTCCATAGCCAGGTGTTTAGTCCTAGTGTGCGACTCTTCATCAGTACGCACCCACCGGGGTTCGAAACTAGGACCTTCTGGATACAAGGCGAGCTCGTAGACCATTGAGCCACTGGGACCCGATCCGATGGCCCATGAATTCTATTTTCTGCCAATTCAATTAGTCCAGAGATCCTGACACCGTTCCTCTTGTGATTCTTCGCGGTATGTCTAACGTTGTCTAACAGTACAGCATATTGAACAAAATGGTTGCTTCAAAAATTTAGCTCAGGTGAAATTTGTTTCTGGTTTTGATGTGTTCTATGAAGTGAATTGGCTTTTAATTGCGAATCTGCCTTTCTCTTTCTGGTAATATATCTCCAGCGCCTGACTTCAGTGTAGTTTCAACGTCAAAGCTTTGTAATGAAAAACATCCGCCTCAGAGAGCTGATTTATACAAGCATGTAGATGGAGCATGAATGTGTTGCTTGACCGCAACACCTAAGTGATAGGTGCTTAAGGCCGGTCACACACGACCTATTTGAGTGATGTCCATATGCAGATCTTACTTTCGGTTAAGGATAGCCGCAAGGTAACTTGGGATATACATTTTCCGGGATCGACCCTTCCTGAACGTTCTTCTCACAGAGGACAAGCAGCATAGCTTACTTGATGGGCATCTGAGGGAAACACATCCCTATTCCGTCAGTAGTAGGCACCGTCTCCTCAGACTCTAAATATATCTTTAACTAATTACAGTATGATGATAATTGTTCTCAGTCTGCAGGATCTGCAGGAACATTTATTTCACCAAGTATAGCTCTATGTCAGAATAGCAACCATCTATTGGAACAGAAGAACACCTGAATTTTCATCATGAGCTGATATTAGTTAGAGAACCATTGGAAAACCTAGGAGTACTGGATAACTGTTTCGTCCTATTTTGGGACTCTTCGTCAGTACGCACCCACCGTCAGGATTCTAACCTAAGAACCTTCTGGGCTCGCCTTGTAACTAGAAGGTCCTAGGTTCGAATTCCGGTGGATGCGTACTGTGAAGAGTCCTAAAATAGGACGAAACAGCTGTCGAGTACTCCTAAGTTTCCCAATGGTTCTCTAACTAATATCAGCTCATGATGAAAATCCTGTAACCAATCAAATCCCTACAAACCAACACTTGAACTGTTATGCACCCTCCGTTTGCTACTTTTCTCTTTGTTCTGTCTTGTCAACAATTCTGTCAGCTGCATGAAAGAATCTATTAATGAACACTATACTAGTTAAGTATTATCATTATTTAGACAAAGCAATAAGAAGACGTAATTTGTCTGAATCGTGTTGTAATGTATTTGCGCAACACATTTCGAACAATCTGATCACACACGGGCTTGTCATAGGAGTACATTTATATATATGAAATTAATAAAGAGTTAAGAGGTGAGAAAATAGACTGCTTTGGTCAAGGACATATTGAAGGTAAAAATAACAATGGAGATCACTAAAACCAACTAACAGAAGTAATAGTACATCTACCCTGTTTGGTATCAAAACAAAGTTTACCAAAGAAGGATTAGTGTGATGACGAGTTGTTGCGTTGAACGCATAAAGGTGGTTTCATTTTCCTAATTGCCAGCTAGGGCTTTCACAAACTTTAGGATACGCCCCAAACACGTTTTATAGGTAGGTTTAAAAGACGTGTAAACATCAATTTTATGTCCTGTCTCTATAGTATGTTTCGTAATAAAGGATCTAGGTCTCCTTTTCTCATCATTAATGGGTTCCGGAAGCCATTTAGGAATATGCTGTGAAGCCAGCCCTTACTTGCAGAGATCGATGAGTCTTCCCTATGTCTGTATGTATGTTCACACTTACATTTAAATTGGTTAATGCAGTGGGATGTGACATCATTTTTTGCATAGATGGATATATTGGCTTCACATTATCCATTATTATGATATTAGCTACATAAAAGGTCTTTTTAACAGTAGCGTTCAATCTTAGGGGCGAGTTGGAGAATGGGTCTTTATGTTCTGATCACTTTATATCTCCTATTGAACTTGTCTGGATAATTGTTATCAACCAGAGTTTGTGTCAGCCTTCTTTCTTCCTCATCAAGTGTGTCTTCAGTGCATAAATTACAAGTTGAACATAGCAGTTCAACAGCGCATCTCCATTTCATCCTGTGTTTTCTGCAATCGTCTTTATCCGACTCCACTATTGTCGATATATTGCGATACCCTCTTGACAGGATCTCCGCCATGACACTCTTAGCACCCAGGCGATAGCTGCTACCTTGACGTGGTGATCGGGCTTGCATATCGCAATGACCCAACGAGTTACACTGGCTGGAACGTATGTTCCTGTAGGTCCTACCATGCCAGAAAGGTTGTTTGGATATTATTATTATTGTTTCCTTTAATTCCTACAGGAACATAGGGCTTCAGCCGTGCGTCTCCATTGCGTTCTGTTCTCTGCAAGAGTCTTCACCTGGCTCCATGTCTGCCCACACGTTTTCATCTCCTCTTCACTTGACCTCCTCCAAGTCACCCTTGCACTGACGACCAACTCGCCGCTTCCCTTTCGGGTTCCACTCGAGCAATTGCTTCTCTAGTGATGTCACTTGATGGTTGTTTAGATAGCGGTTAGACAAAAAGCAGCTACCCAATCCAACACTATGATTCAAACAAATCCACGATATATCATGCCGGATCGGTCCGAGCCCGGATTAACAACGACCGCGCTTTCTGCTGCCGTGTCACAGGGCAGAAGTGATAAATATGCTACTGAGACACACCAAATGAATAAGAACAAACAAAAACAGGCCGCGTGTGACCGGCCTCAAGCAGTTGTCCCCTGGGCTCTGCGGTCACGCAACACTAACCTTTTCTCTATTTCAGGCACCCGAAGACCCAACCAACTTCCACGGTGTGGGCAGCCGGGAAGTAACAACCGCCCACATACTTCCGAAAGCACACGAAGCCTACCTGAGCATCACTGTCCCCTAGCCGCCAAACCCGCCGTTTCTCATTTGGGTTCCGCTCAAGCGTCTGCTTGTCGCACGATATCATCCAGTAGTCTGCTTAGAATGTGTCCAATTCATCTCATTCTCAAAGTTCCCTGTTACTAATCCTTCCTGGTCATCTGACCAGTGTTGAAGGTCCGGATCTAATTCTTTATGCTTAATGCAGTGGAATTCCATACTGATTTCAGATTAATAAAGATCTTTCTAGCCTTTCCGATCCTGACTTTGATATATATATAAAGATACATATATATATATTGTTATTGACTGTTATTCAATGTCTTGGATAATTTTCCATTTGTTATTATTCCTATTTTCAGCGTTAAAACAACTCACTATGACAAAGTATTTTATCCTTCCGCTCTTGAAGATTGGTTAATTGCTGCAGGGTTAGCGCATTCCCATGAAGATGCCTCACATTACATGAAATGTCTTGAATTGGGCAATATTATAAGTAGTGTATGCCCTAGACCTACAATGACAACAACAACAACAATGACTGAATCCCCGTCGTCAGCAGCAGGAGCAGCAGCAGCATCTTCATCCTCAATAGAGACAATCTGTGACTGTTGCCAGCAACCTCTGTTAACATTTACTAATTATGCATGGAATTTACAAATTACAAGATTTTAGAGAACATACGCACATACACAGGAGAAAGAGTGCGTGTGTGCGTGTGTGTGTGAGTTTGTCGTTTGTCAATCACCAGGGAGAGAGGGAGAGTACAAACATGCACACGGAAGCACACACTCCATCCCTCCGCTACTGCTCCTCATCTTCCACCATTGTGTAGTACTCTTGTGTCGTGCGGTTTTTTGTATTTTGTTTTCGTCTTCTGCCTCCTTTCTTGAGGAAGTGTCATCACATTTGTGATAAAAAGCCATTATGAACAAAAAAGGAAAAACCGCTTCTTCCCCTTCCCCCTTCAAATGATGACATCCGAAGCAAAGAAATTAGACTTACAATATCAACGAGAAAATTTCCCTTCTTATTTTTTGTATTTGTCCGTTGTTTTTTTTCTTTTTTTCTGCCTTTCGTGTTTATTTATGTATTGATTTTTGTTTGCTGTTTTGTGTTGTTTCGTCGTTTGTGCTCAATTTTGTTAGCGTTCCTATCATTATTTTGTTATGATTGCGTTTCTAGTCTATAAACCGGTTCATATTATTATTATTATTTATTTTCTTGTTAGTGTTGTGGTTGTTTTGGCTTGTTCTGTGTGCATTCATGTCTGCGCCATAATTTTGTTCCATTTATGTCTATCCATCTATTGATCTCCTAATGAGTAGTATACATTTGCTTGCTTACATTTTCGGTAAAATACAGTTATGTGTGTACGCATCTGTTTAACTTAACTACCACTGAAAAATATATAGTAATGAAGTAACTATATTATATTATTATTATTTTTGTTCCCTTAGGTTCCTAGTGGAATATTGGGCTTCAACTGCACGTCTCCCCTTGCTTCTGTCTTCTGCTGTACTTTTCACCTGCATCCATGTTAATCCATACTGTTTCAACTCCTCTTCATACGATCTCCTCCATGTCAACCTTGGACGTCTCACTCGCCGCTTCCCTCCCGGGTTCCACTTGAGCTATGGCCTGAAGCGCGATGTCACCCAGCGGCCTCCTCAGCGAGTGTCCAATCCATCTACACTTCCTCCTACATATTTGTTGGGCGATTGGTTCTTGTTTTGTTTGTTCCCATAGTTTCTTGTTGGTGATTCCTTCCGACCATCTGATCTTGAGTATAGAGCGAAGACAGTTGTTGTTGATAAAGGTCTGCAACAGGCTGTTGGAAATATTCTTTGTGACCCGCCAAGTTTCTGATCCGTATAGCAAAACTGACTTGACATTTGTATTGAAAATCCGAATTTTGTTGTTGATGCTGGCTGAGTGACGAAGATTTCCAGATTGGTTTCAGGTTGATGAGTGTGAAGTAATAAAGTTCTCTCTTTGTGTTTTTTAGTAGCTGTCACGGATAATCTGTCGTCCATCTACGCTGACCGAGTTTCAGCGTAGAAACTTGTACAGATGTTCGACAGTTCAATTTCCAATGCTTCATGTGGCACAAAAAGGCAGAATCATAACACTGAACGGTATAAGGACTTAATGGCTTTAGAAGTTTGCAAAGAGTAAATGCATCTGCTTCCATTTTGAATAATATTGCCAAGAGTCTCAAGGCGCGTTGGTCCTTAACATCTCAAGGAACCCATCCAGGTAGCTTACACACCTATCCTCATCGCTGGCTCGAATCAACAATAAAAAATTTCATGTATTTTTAAGTGTGTGCTTGTAGGAATTTCACTGACTTCCAGTTTGATAGCCAACTGACCTGAGTACCAGCGGGTACTCCACATCTGTTTCGTCTTAGTAGTACACACTCACCGCCGACTGAACGCTGGAACTTTCAGGTTACGACATAAGTCCGTTGACCATCCACCCAGTAGTACGGTATCCAATGTTCAGTTGGCGACATATGTATGGTGCGACCGCCAACTGAAGTTACTTCGTAACTAACGCTTGAAAAATCAATCTAGTTTTGCAATTAGTAGTGTTCCGTGAGCTGGTTGGTTCAGTTGCGGGGCTTTCGTCGTCCTTCTGGACAACATCTTCAGCTCAATTTTTAGCATAAAGTGAACTGATTTAAATTTTCCATGAGTGATACTAGGCAATAACCCAATTACTCACAAAAGAAACTGTGTGCAGACATTGTTTAAAAGAATTCAAACACACTGTATCACCCCAGCGTTGAAAAGAATGGAAGAAAAATGCCTACTATTGGTCTTCAAAAAGAATGGTCATCCACAAAATTTCATCAGAAAGTTTTTTAAATCGAATCACAACACCAACAAGAAACTATCATCAAAGAGCATAAGAAAATTCATCTTACCAAATATGAAGAAATATCTCTGGAATAACAGCTAGAATACTGAAACCGTTTGAAATAGATATAACACACAAGCCAGCCAGCCAGCACAATCACTTCATTCGATATTGTGCAAACCAAAAGACCCATCCAACAGAAAAAGGAGATAAAATTAATACTATTTACAAAATAAATAGTGTGAACTGTAATAGACATTACATCGGCCAAAGTGGGCGTCCCCTTCGAATCAGAATCCAGGAACACAAATCAGCTGTGAAAAGACATGATATATACTTTTTCATATCAATGCATATAGATAATTAGGGACATTAGTTTGATTGGGATAATGTCGAGATTTTAGATAGAGGAAACACCAAAAATGCAGTCAGGGAATTCCTAGAAGCCTGGTATTCGAACGAATATGCAATTAACAAACATGTTAATATAGACCAAATATACCAACTAATAAAACGTAAATCAAATGACCAGAAAGTTTAAAATGCAAGTCAATAGAAAATGATCACTACAGATGTTAAGATGGTTACCGGGAGCGGCAATTCTATCACTCACTCATGGAAAATTTAAATCAGTTCACTTTATGCTGAAGATGTTGTCCAGAAGGATGACGAAAGCTCCGCAACACAACCAACCAGCTCAGGGAACACTACTAATTGCAAATCATCCACCTGAGCTAAAAATCTTCTCTATTATTTCACAGTCGATCTAGTGCTCACTAATGACTGACTGTAGGATCCAGGGGCTTGAAGTTTTAGTAGGAGGTTGTCGAAAGCGCGATCCACCAAGCTGGCTGTGTGGAGAGATCATCGCTTAATGACACTAACTGAATTCCATGTTTTGATTCGACTGCGCTTAAATCCTTTCCAAGCTAATAATGTATTGGTCAACATTGCTCGACAAGTTAGGAGATGGCTGATCATGCATAACACGTATCCGAGACACCTCAGTCGATGTAACTTCACACTCTAATCGTTGTCTGACACTACGCCTAATCTCGATGTTAGTCACCACATCATACGGCTTAACTGAAAGACTGTAGACTGAAGTGTTGACACATGAAAAAATAGGTGGCACTGTAACAAAATTTCTACAAAGGAATACATTAAATTCAATTTTGGGAGCATATTTAGATGACTATTTCAAATAATTTTTGGAGTTAGGTTTTTTGGGAGGGTGGGTGGTGAGAAGGGTTGCCCTGTCGTCATGTTCTTAAGTGAGGGTTACTTAATTTTCAAAGAAACTGGCCACCCAGGCAGCTCCTGCTTATTTCAACTTTGATCTCGACCTGATTATATTAAGATTGGTTGATGAGGAATGGGGCGGAAGTGTGAACCAGGGGTTTCGAGTTCTTTCGATCGATCACATTTCGGTAAACTGGCATCCAATAATTTAAATCCTAGTAAGAGGCAGTTTTTGAAAAGAATTTCGTTTTAGTTTAAATCCCTACGTCATTAGACAGAAAGAATGAATGAATGGTTGTCTCTCAACTAGAATCCTTTTTTTTCAAAAATATCCATATTGTGTACAACTTTCAGCCAATTCGTAATGTATTCAAACTGGCATCAAGGATGCACCAGCTTCCTACTCTCTAAAGTGTTGGATAATAATAGACAAGGTCGACTCTCCTAATACCTAAATAAAATCGATCACTTTAAATCTGACTCATTGGTTCCAGTACTTGACTTTCGGTAAATGAGTCTTGAGTTCGAATCCCACTTCACTTAATGTAGACTGATCAGATGTGTATTATCATAAGACCTCATACAATACACATACCTCAGCCTAGTACATAAAAAGTCTGCTCTCGAATTGTGTCATTTACATACCGATTTATTTGAGATTGTTTGTAGGCAGTCGACTTTTTCCTAATTCTGTTGAAATAGTACGCGCTTACATACTGAATATTAGATGGCCATGAAGAAAGTCTGAGGAAGAACCAGTCGACTAACGAAAATGGAGATGGATTTAAGATACACTGAGAAGACAGATGATGAGTAACATGGCGTGCCAGGCCTTCGCGTGAAACTTGACTGGGAGACGATGGGTTGGGTGTAGGTCCGAGGGTGAATATGGAGGACATTGTGTCAGGAGGAAGTGGAGGCTTAGCGGAAAGTCATGGAACCAGCTAAAACACACTGCTGAAGTCATACAGTGATGTGCAGTAATACTTACTGATTACTACGTATCGAGCACAAATTACTGCTCATAATCATATCGAAGCAACAAGTTAACACAAGAAGCATCAAAGATAGTCCTCCAGGTGAACATAGATAAAACAGAGGTGATGAAAATTCCTGGGCAACACCACCAACAGCAACAACAACGACTGACAACAATCAGCATAAATGGGAGGAACTTGAACAACCTCCTTTACCTACCTTGGAAGCATCGTTTCAACTACAGGCGGAACTGATGAGGATATCAAAGCAAGGATCGGAAAAGCAAGACAAGCTTTCACTACTCTCAAGTCTGTGTGGAGGTCAACAGCACTCAGCATCAAAAATAAGATCCGGATTTTCAACTCCAATGTGAAGTCAGTTCTACTATACGGATCAGAGACTTGGCGCGTCATAAAGAGCATCTCAAACAAACTACAGACCTTCATTAATAGTGGTCTTCTCTCAATACCCGTCAAGATGAGATGGCCGGCCAGAAAAGATCAGCAACAGAGATCTCTAGCAATGAGCGAACCAACCCAGCAGGAACCGATTGTGAAACAAATAGGCAGGAAGAAATGGAGATGGATTGGCTGGCCATACTCTTAGGAAACCATCAAGTAACATCACTAGACAAGCCATTGCTCGAGTGGAACCCGAAAGGGAAGCGGTGAGTTGGTTGTCAGTGCGAGGGTGACTTGGAGGAGGTCATGTGAAGAGGAGATGAAAATGTGCGGGCAGACTTGGAGCCAGGTGAAGACTGTAGCAGAGAATAGAACGCAATGGAGACGCACGGCTGAAACCCTATGTTCCTGTAGGAATTAAAGGATACAATAATAATAATCATATCGAAACATTACTGACACAACTTTCTTGCTTTATTTATATACGTAAGTTGATGATTACACATTTGAATAAAATCAATATAAGATAAAGTACATTCAGAAATAATAATATTAGTGTTATCAATAAAATACAATAAGATGTTTTTATAATAAAAAAGGTACCTTGTTAGAATGTTATAATGTATGTGAATTGAATACATTTTAACATTATTGATTATCCTCTGATTTGACTGGTAATCATATCTTCCATACATATCTCTGGTATTTGCGTTGAGTCACTTCTATTGCATGTGCTGGGTGTAGATTTTTCGACGAACCAGGATTCAGTAATCAATCTCTTTCTCAACCTACCTATATTAATTTTTAGAATTTTGACTCTGTCCCACCCACCTTATTGTGTGATTGTATATTAATGCATGCAGTGTAATTGCTGGGCTTTTTGTCTACATTACTTATCTTTGTGGGGTCAATCATTGAAACCTTA